TTGAAATTGGTACATGAGCTTTCTCGAGGATGTGCCTCTTTTCAGCTTTTTAGACATTGCGCTATACCGCCCGTTCAGGTTACTATCACCACACCCTATGCTACTGCTTTACATGATAGTACGTTAACGGTCAAAGATTTCGCATGGTCTGACAGTTCGACGTGTTGTTCGGCTTAACACTACTCTTTCGGCCGTGTTCCCCTATCGAGACCGGTTATTAACGAGTCCCAGTGTTAGAGACAGGGTTCGTATAATTAAGAGGGGAGTCTAATGAGCAGTCAGTTTCCTCTGGCAAAATGCATTATTATTTTCTAGACAATGTCCAAATATGGCGGGATCCGAGCCTGCGTTTGGAATTGCAAATCCAAGAACTTACCCGGAAAGGCTGGACGTAGCGAGGGAGCTCTATTAGCTATGAGGCCAACAGCAAGCTCTCGGGTGCTCCTACGGTTGACTATTAGTGTCGAGCGCTCCAAATTTGACGCGATGAAAAGTCGTATGACCGCAGCTGTCATGGAGTGGAGGCCAGAGAAAACAAGGCTCATGATGGATGCTTTTTTATCATTCTAAAGCTGGGATCGGCGAACTCAAAATTGGGATGTCGGCAATGACATCTTTTGGTACGTAACTAAGTTAGAAGGCGCTGGTTGTGAAGTGACTCCAACATTGTAATTTCTAAAGACGGTTGTGACGAATTAGCAAGTTCTAAGTAAAAACATGTATCACTTGGGAGAGGTCGTACGGCACAATTTATGTGATACGTGAGTTGAGAGTGGTGTTAAGCGCTAGTGATCCCTTTAACTCGGGTTTGCGAGAGTCTCAATGTAAGAGAATGAAGAGCAGCTTCAGTTTTCTCATTAACTTTAGCTCGCCACATGGGGGGTTGACTTGTCAGACTGTTAGACCAAAGCTAGGGAAACCCTCTTGACCGCCATAGCACAATGCTGGAAGGAAGTATATGCGTTTATAAGTCAGTATTGTATGGCTAATGATGTATCGATGAAGCGATAGATTATAAGCCCTGAGCTCTATTCAGTAAGACTTCAAGAAGCTAATCTACTCATAGATCTTTCACATCGATTCTGGCTCGGTCTTCCTCTGCTCCCGTCAGATCCCTCCCAACATAGACAAGGCTAAGAGTGGTCGGATATCTTGACCCAGCTGAGCCCACTCATTGAGCAACCGCCTAGTTGCAAGTAGGGTTGTAGGTGATAGCGGGGTCGTATGATACGCAGCGGTTGTTGCCGCAGATGGGAATGTAGTTGCAGCGAGTCATCGAGCCACAGCAGTCGTCATTGCATCTGGCATAGAGCTGTGTGCATCTTTCTACAATTCGATAGCTTGATTAGAGACAGATGTACAACACGAAGGATCTTATGGATTTACTCACTTTCAATGGCAAAGAGCGCACCGGCGTCAGCGTTGGGAGAGGATGGCACGGCAGCAGCCAGAGAGGCAAGGCCGAGAATAGCGATCTTCAGAGTTGCATGCATCTTGATGAGGAAGTGTCTTGATCGTAAAGAGTGTTGGGTATATCGGAGTGAAGGTGAGAAGTCTGTCAGCTATCGTCTGATGAGAGAAGTCATGATTGAAGGTCAAAGGCGTCAAGGCTAGTTTTTATAAAGACATTGCTGAAAGGATGTGAAATGTCGGAGTAGATACGATTATTCGTACTGTTCGTATTGCGCCTTACATCGTACAATGCTGGATGTTCTCCCTCTGGAACCTACAGAGTAAGGTTTTGCGGTCATCCGCCGGAGGATCCGCGGGATGGATTACTCCGTATTGATACTCAGGTTTTTGCGGAAATTGCAGATAATATCTCGGCTAGTCAGATGTATGTAGGAAAAGGTGTCGATTGTGGTCAATTGCGTCGGTCGCCCATACAATAAAGTTCTTCTACACCTGCAGTGTCCTCCAAGACATAGCTCGCCCAGCCGCGAATATGGTGCGTGCGGCAAGTACTATATGCAGAGTCATCCAACTATATTATGGGTTACTCAGGCTCGGAAGTGATCAAACAAACGGACACTCCGTACTATTTAGTATTTACTTTTCAAGTTTATTACAAATGGACCATCGATTTGAAGTTGTTTGCTATTTCAGGGCATGGTAATACGCGCAGACATGTCACCCATGCGCCTATATCCTTTCTCCTATAGTACGGATATTCAAAAGCCCATTCCTTATGCATTTTGATTGCAAAGCAACTGAGAGCAAGCGCCAGGAGAAGCTGGAGCCGAGACCCAATTGAAAGCTGAAAGAAGCATATTCCAATTGTCAAGACATGATAGGAACCTGGGAAGTGGCCCGGAGGCTTGGGCTAGGAATTTGCGCAACGTGCCTTTGAACCTCGCTCTCACCTATTTCAATTAAAAAACTGTTGATATCACCGTCGGTATGGATCTCATTGCCATTGAGCGACTCCCAGTTACATGGAGGTATGGGTCATCAGATAGAATATGCCACGATCCTGCTGGAATACAAGGTGAAACAGTTGCAGCCCAATCTTTGGATGACGATCCCACGTCCGTTTCAATCTCGAAATACCAAGTGTTTGAATCGTCCAAAGTAAGACAGCGGGATCGGGAGATGAAGAAAGCCCGGGGGCCGGCCAGATAAACTCAACTTGTAGTGAAGGACCCGAACTCCAAACAATCGGCTCGTCGCGACGCGATCTAAGCCGGCGTGCACACACACAGTGTCGGTACCGGAGCGGCGATCGGAAAGACCAGCAGAGTTTCAGAAATCTGGTCAGCTGTGTTGATGAGTCAGGGAAACATAGTTATCCGGCGAGATCCGGCTCCGACTCACAACAGCCCGAATCGCCACATGTCGCACGGGTCTGGTGGAGAGAGGAACAATCCTCGGACTGAGATCCAAGCTACGAATGTCACTTGATGAGCATCCCCGCATGCGGCTGCGTCTTGCTGCGTCTCACAGAAAAATAAATTGGTAAGTCCGTAGGCTCTGTCGTTGAATTTGAGTCAACCGAGTAGGTTTTGGTTTCCGGGAAGGCAGCAAACATAGCCCAGAATCCACCGATTACCGCCGTCCTGCCGGCCGTGTGGGGGCCCGAGAGGTGTCCGAAGTCGCATGGCGCCGATGGCGCAATATGTCGCCATACCTAAGCTCCAGCCTCTTATCGGCAATCTCTGTTTCCCTTTCAAAGGGTCTCTCCTCAGATGCCCATTGACTGACTGATCGAGAAAAGGGGAAACATTGGGTATGATGTCAGGCCTGATTGGCCGATACTGCGGCGTTGCCTTCCTCCCCAGTGAATGGGAAACTCGGAGTGCCACACCGGATGCATGGCATGGTTGTCCACTGCGGATCTGAAAAGGTTCATCCCAGCTGCATCAGAGTTTTGAAGAGCCGATGACACCTTCCTTTTTTTCCATCTGCTGGCTTGCGGCTCTGTGAATCTCTCCTCCACACAATCAAATCGATCGACATGGCGCGCGTAGAGACATTGCAAAGTGGTGAAGGAACGCAGAGGGTGGTGGACGAGAGGTCGCCGTTATTGTCGAATACTCGACGAGGGTCGAGTTCGTCAGGTGAGAGCTCCTTGACTTCCTCGTCGTCTAGCGGAGACTTGGACGGCCAATTCCTTCCATGGCATCTCACACCGTCGTTAGAAGTCGTCGATTCGAGCGTTGATGTCGAACGGGTGGCACCCGTTGCTACCGCCAGCGATGATGCCAAGCTGCAAGCCCAAAAAACCTCAACTTGGGCAGTTATCAAGATCGTGTCTATCCTGCTGGTCGGAACTTTCACTGCGAACGCCGATGGCTCTTTGGTGATGGCGACGCACCCAACGATTGCCTCCGAATTCGATGATCTCGAAAACTCCAGTTGGCTCTTTGTATCTTTCGCGTTGGCAGGAGCGGCAACACAGACTTTGGTTCGTAATTTCTTCCCCGGTTCAAGTGAGTTCATTCACTAATACCGCGGAAAGTATGGCAAGCTCAGTGACATTTACGGGCGTCGTGCCCTTCTCATGGTGGCTTATACGTTGTTTTCCATTGGATGGTAGGGTTGATCAATGTTATCCACATGATTATCAACTGACTATTCACAGCGCAATGGTTGGCGTCGGCCGTACGATGTGGCAAGTCGTGCTTGGACGGGTCATTTCAGGATCAGGTGGCTCGGCATTGAACGTCCTCGGGCTGCTTTTGGTGACAGGTAGAACACGATAGAGGACCTTTTAGGGAAGGGCTAAGCTAACCTTGATAGATCTCGTCCCACTCCGTGACGTTGCTGCATGGCAAGCAGGTATCAATCTGGCCGCAACAGTAGGACGAAGTCTTGGTGGACCTGTGGGAGGGTGGTTAGCCGATACCATTGGGTGGCGATGGTCTTTCCTCGGCCAGGCACCCGTTTTCCTACTTGCTGTCTTGCTGTGCTGGTTTTTCCTGCCAAGAGGCAAGCAAGTGGGAAAGGGAGACGAAGGTGCTGTAGCAAGCGGCAAGCCTATCGACGGCAAAAAGAGCTCTTTGGCGAGGATCGACTTTCTGGGCGCTGCATTGTTGGCACTCTTCATCTTGACCTTTCTCCTCCCGATTGAGATAGGAGGTACCAAGATACCGTGGAGCCACCCACTCATCTTCATCCTCTTTGGCGTAGCAGCCGTGTTTGGTGGGCTCTTTGCCGCCGTCGAGGAGTGGTGGGCCAAGGAGCCAATCTTTCCCTTGGAATTGTTGAAGCATCGCGACATTATCCTGACGTACGTAATTAGCGGTGGGCAAGTTGCAGCTCAACTCGGCCTCATGTTCTCCGTCCCGCTCTATTTCCAGGTGACACAGCGTGTGTCCAACACCGTTGCTGGAATACACCTCTTCCCGGCTGTCTTTGGAAATGCCATCGGCGGCGTCCTTGCTGGATATTTGATCAGAAAGTAGGTCAATCCTAAAGATGTACATTGTCTAAGGCGACTTGCTAACTTGCACAGGACTGGTCGTTACAAATCTCTATTGATTATTGCGACAATCGCGTCGATGTTCTCCTACTCGCTTTTGCTACTCCGGTGGCATGGAGATACCAATGCTTGGGAGTCGCTTTACATCGTGCCTGGTGGGTTTGGGGCTGGTCTGGTACAGTCGGCGGGATTCATCAGCATTCAAGCCGCAGCCAATCCCAAGCACAAGGCCGCAGTGACGTCGGGAATGTTTCTGACGTTCCAGATCGGCATGATCCTCGGCCTGTCATGTGTCAGTGCAGTCATGATGGAAACGATGAGATGGCGGCTAGATGCGTTGCTGGAAGGCATGGACCTCAGCGCAGTAGTGCGAAAGCAGGTAAGCAGAGGCCAGTCGTTGCTTTTCTCAAGCCGTCGCGGGCACTAACATGAATTGGGGTAGATTATCGCAAAAGCGACGTCGAGCGTTGACTACATTGATCATGCAGATAAAAAGATTTCAGCAGCCATTGTGCAGGCGTACGTTGAGGGTTTGGGCTTTAGCCACGGTTTCTCACTCATCTCATCAGCGCTGGCATTGATCGCGGCTGTTTTCGTAAGAGAGCATAAGCTGTAATGTAGAGAGCATTGGCGAACGCATTGGAGCAGGACTCTGTAAAAGTCAACACATACTCGAGCATCGATTGCTGGTGTAGAGCCATGAGTCCTCCTAGTCTGCGTAGAGAGTGAAGGTAGACTCTGAGCACGTTGTGTGTTTGTATAGAATTTGAGTAGAAGAGAGGAAGGGCTGGGTTCAATGACACTGGATGCTGTGAAGATGCGTCTCCAGGTGCACAGTCAGGTGGAAGGCTTCACACCATGTACCAATACTGTGTGTGTGTGTGTGTGTCCCTTGATAAGTGGGCCGTGCATAACGTGTTTTTGTGGCCGGTGTATCTCGGTGAATTCAAATATCAAACAATAGCCGCTGCAGCACCGAGGAAGTCTTCTCACCGAATATACCCAACCACACCGTCTGTTATACACCTAGTGACCAAAGGAACCATCAATACTGCTGCCCAAGTAAGGGTTGGCATTCAGAGGAAGCACCGCAGTCTAGATCACCTCGGCCACTGAGACCTGACCCCTCGCTTCCGACCTAGCCGTCACCTCATCACCACTACCTTCGGGTGCTCTCATCACCACCGACATCAGCATACAAGAACTTTCGCCTCAAGAAAATCGAGACGATATAGTATTAATTACGCATAAAAATCAGCGACAATGCCGCCCAGGCGTGTGCGTCTCGATTTCTCCGCCGCTGAGCTACACGCCTTGGGGATAACACCCGACATGGACCCTCGCACGTTGGTAGAAGTGCTCCAGAGACTCCAAGCCAGTGTCCAAGAGGCTTCGGTACAGCCACGGCAAGAGCAAAAGAATCACTGCCATAATTGCCTTGACCGCTATCACAAAACGAGACATTGCCCGTTCCCCTGCGGCCACTGCGGTCAGGCATGGCACAACGTCGACGCCTGCACCAGCTCCAAGCGCAATCGTTGCCGCTGCAGCCCCTTTCCTCAACGACACCTCGCCAAGCAATGCCCCAAAATGTGTACGCCGGGCGAATGTCCCACCTTTCACATGGGCGATGCGATCACAGCCATGATGTGCAAAGCCCGCTGCTGCATGTGTGGTATTCCGGACCACGCCGGTCGCGATTGTCACCTCAAGAAGTGCCGCTGCGGAGGGCAGCACTTGACAGTCGACCACATGCCTATGGATCGACAGTGCGTCGTGGTGAGCTGCCCGCGATGGTTCTGCGCCAAGCATTGCCAGGCCTGCGAGGCCGAGCTGGAGAAGCTCAACGATGAGGTATGCCAGAGCTGCGGCTCCAAGCAGGAAGTTCGTCCATCTGTGCCGCGGTCGCACCAATGGGCCAGTCCTGATTTTGAATATGTGGATGCAGCGTTGGCATGGGGCAATAGCAAGTATGGCAAGGCTATATTTGGTAAAGACGTCGCATTCTGAAATTCGTTCAAGGAGGAGATTACGGTCACCTACGAAGCACAGCGTGGCTTTCGACAGACAGACTTAAGTTGTCACGATCAGCATTATAAGCACATATTACGACTTCGCTGCGCTTCTATAGTAGATCATTCACAACCAATCAGGCTTCAGATATTATCAAATAGACCCTTGGTATTACTAGACCCGAAGATCTCGAGCTGGAAACTACCTTTGCAGATCTAGACCCGAGGCAATGTTAGGGTCCTGTCAAGAATGCCGCATGTATGGTGGATGGTATCACGCGACGAAATCATCCTCTCAACTCCCCGCCAAAAGCAGACCTGCCCAGATGTGTGTAAAGAACCTAGCAAAACGCCCTCCATAAACATTAAAGTACTCTTTCAGTCGTCCTCCCAGCCGCAACCATCGTCATCCACTTCGACCTTGGTGCCAAGAGCCTCCCTGCCTTGGCGAATCATCTCCTTGAGCCTCTGGTTGAAATCATTAATCCGCGCATCGGTGTCATGTTCGTCCTTGATTCGTCTGGCTGCCAACTTCTTGGCTTCCACGTCGAGCCGAGGGCTCGCGCGGATAGAGTCCACCCCAAACTCCTTGAGTTTACCACGAGGTGACGCTGCTGAGGCACTGCTATTGGAGCGGCGATGCGAGCGTATAGGTGGGCTCATCAAGGATTGTGCTGGTGACGGAATGGCACTCTGACGCCGGGCCGAGACGGTCGTCTTTGCGAATGGGTTCGGACTCGAGCCGGCAGACTGCATGGGAAGTGGGATTCGGCTCGGCGAGGGCCCGGTCAAGGTCCTCGGCGGCTCCGGAGATCTCACACTGGCAAAGCTTGCTGGTTCCTGATATGACAGTGGTGCGGTGTCCGGGGTATTGTATTCGTGGCTGGCCGTAGATTGGCGGCGGTTGTGGATCGGGATCGAGCTGAGACGAGGCTTGGGAACACTAATCCTCCGGCCTGTGACCAGAGAAGGGCGCATATTGCGGGATGCTGGCCGCATCGATGCCCTCGAAACTGGCCTATTGCCTGGTGCTGACTCGTCCACCACAACCCAGTTTCGCAGCTCGTCATGATTCCCAGCACTCGTCTGTCGGCGTTTTACGGCGGGTCGCGAAGGTGTGGCCTCAGCCTCGACCTCGACCTCAAGCTCTAGTTCGGGGTTCAGAGCTTGGTCTGGCTCCCGGGCATACGATGTAAAGAGGGGCTGAGGGTGTCCTCCGGGCGGCGTGATATCCCCGACGGGAGTATCCAAATTTTGGAGACTTTGCTGTTGTCTCCATTCATATTTTTCGTTGAACTTCTCGGATGATTCTGGTTGAGGCGTGGGCAACCCTGAGGTGGCAGCTGAAGAGGGACGAATGCTTTGGCCATCAATGGTGTAAGCCTTGCCACCCCCAGCAGAGAAGCCGATGAAGGCCCCCGCCTTGCAGAATTCCCAGACTTTGCCTACGACCCCACCAATAGTGTTGAACGCAAAGCGGCTCCAGCCGCCGGCGACTGGATGGCTAGGCTGAACCAGAACAGTCGGCTGGCCTGGAACGGGCGATTCCATCTCTTCGTGTGGTCGTTTTGATCCCAAGGCTCTTCGATAATCGCCGTCTGAGTACATGCTCTCATCCAAGTTACCGTTGTCGTAAGGCGTGTTGATGCCGCCACCAGGTGTCTCGAGCTGGCCAGCTAGGGTGTATCGGGCTCCTCGGATCGGTAAAGGGGTCTCGTGTCTTGGCAGTTCGCTCGAGCTGTCTAGATTCATGTTGCCATCGTTCCATTCATTCAGCGGAGTAGCCTCGCGGGAGGCATTGATGCGCCGTTTCCTTTTTGCCTGAGCTGACGGTGTATTTGCTTCGGCGTGGTAGCTGTTTGCTCTGGCGAAACAGTAGGAAGAACCGGCGGAGGGGGAAGCGGGTGGTCGGAAGACGCCAGGGTGAACTCCGGCGGGTTGTGCGTCAAAGTAGGTACCGGGCATTCGGTACTGGGATGTAAAGGCCATGGTGCAGGTCGGTGCAGGCGTCGGAGGCCAGGGCGACGGAACAAGGGATGTCGGAGGGGTCACGGGTGAGGCAGGGAAAGGAGTTACGGAAACCACGGCAAGGGGTCGGGCGGGAGCGGTGACTGTTGCAGTGTTTGTGTGGTGATTCACAATGTCGCAGAGCCTGAACGAAAGCTCATGATCGATCCGGAAGCTAAGTCCCAGGCCTGAGTCTCGGGTATCGGGTTGTGTGTAGAAGATGAGCCGTGGTGCGCTGGCTCGTAGGTTGTCCGTCGAGCGACAGGCCGTGCGATGGCTGGCAGCAGGCGAGCGCTGTCAGATGGGGGAACGAAGCGCTCGAGGATGAAGGGAAGAAGGATTCCCGTGTTGACAATGCGCGCGTGCTTACTCGGACTATGCGTTGATGTGTCGGCAGGCAGCTGTGGTCGGGTTGGAGAAGAGCGGCGCGGTCAAGTTATTTTTTTGGGGGGAGGCCCTGGGGCGAAATAGGTTGGGTGACCTGGAAAGTAGCAAGGAACAGCTATTGGCAACCAACAAGCTCGGTCCTGGCGTTGGGGAGAGCTTCGAGTGCCGGCAACAGCCGTTGATGATGAGTGTCTTGATTGGACGTCGCGCGTGTGACGGATGGTTGGTCTAGACCCTGAGAAAAAGGGACGGCGCTCAGGGTGACGTCGAGTTTGTCATGCGCTACTCTGGAAGAACGCAAGGGAAAGAAAGCAAGGTACTAAGGTAATATGTACCGATAGTCTGGAGATGTGCTGTATGGTAACGGTTCGTCTGTAGTTACCGGAATGAAAACCAACGTCGATCGATGCAGATGGTAAAAAGAAAAGAAAGCGCGATGAAGGAAAGACAGATCGATAGCACAATAATTGTACGTAGTATCCGTACCGGCCTGGATGTATGCGTATCCGCCGCCAGTCCCTGAATCAAAAGTCGACACTAAAACTCAGACGAGGCGAAGATGGATGGGAGGTTGGCGAGGAAGGATGTTGGACAAGGGGGGGGGGGGTAATGGAGGTGCACCTTTTTGTATTTATCTTTTTTTTTTTTTTTTTGTTTTTTTTTTTTTGGAGTGAGCCTGTGGCTGCATATCGTGTCATTTGGTTCCGTTCGCTTTGCCTTTCCGCACCACCCGGTGATGCACGTCTGTCAGTGTCAAGCTGATATTAAAATTAATATTTGTTCAGGGTCTCGCGATGGCTCCTTCAAGGTTCCCTGCACTGCACCTTTCCCCCAGAAAGTACCAGTAGGGGGAAAAAAAAGCCAGCCTCTTTTTATTTTATTTTTTTAAGCGAAAAGACTTATAGCTGTCTCAAAGAAGAAAGGCGCCATCGGTTGCTAGGGTGGCTGATCATCTAGAGGTCCAAGCGCGTGGCTCAGCAAGAATGTAAACAGAGGGGCAGCACAACGGGGCGGTGATCCAGTGCCGTCGGTATTGGGAAGCACTCACACCCAGGAACCTCACGCGTGACACGCATACTTCTCAGTTCATATTGATAAAATCATCATCGTTGGCTCAGCTTCTCTCTAAGCCCCAGGTATCATCTATCATATGCCACATGCAACACCATGTAATGCAAGCAACTTGTGCCAGGACCCGTAACTCGATTTTCCTTTCGCGACTCCAGAGCCTGACCTCAGCAACACAGTGGCGCCCAGGCTCAGGGTGACCAACACCACTGACGGGTTTCGCCGTCCCACGTACCTGTACCCAAGTACGGCACACTGTGCATGGCGCTCATTAATCATCTATTCGGCTCGTGCATCATTTGCGCTCGTAGTAATCATCTTGCTGCTGTCGCCGGTCTTCCTGGACACCGCCTTCGATACCATCCTCACCGTGGACGTGCTGCTGGGTGCCCCAGAAATGCTCGCGCTCCTTGAGCAGAGCGTCCGCCCATTCCTTGGTCTCGGGCAACATGAATTTGGTCGCGACGTATGCGAATTCGCCCAAGTCAAGTTTGCCCTGCCCTCGCTTCTCATACTCCATCATCTGGAGAAGCAGCTCCATTTTGTCCAGATCGTGTACGTAGTGGCTGTTGAGAGTCTGGGAATCCTCGTACTCTTGCCAGATCTCACGAATCTCGGCACCTGGGATACCGCCGTAGACACTGCCGAGAAGGTTCTTGGTAATATAGTCCATCGTCTCCGCCTCACGTCTGTTCTTCTCGGGCTTCGCCACGCCATCGACGGGTGTGATGTCTCCAACCAGAGACTCGGCCATGTCGTGTATCAGACACATCTTCATGCATCGCGCGAGATCGAGACGGGGCGCAAGGGCGGGCGGGGCGAGCATCGATAAAAGGGACATGCGGTACATGTGGTCGGCGATGGATTCTCCTCTGTCAAGGCCCATGCATTAGCGAATATTGACATCTATATACCTTGCGATAAGTTGCGACGCGAGGTACCAACCTTGCGATGCCGAAGCGGCGCCAACCTTCCCGCTTGGTTGTCTTGAGGCGCTCAATCAGATGGAAGTAAGGGAGCGGTGAGCCGGCGTCCGCAGGTCCTGCGGTGCCCGGGGATATTTCAAGAGCCTTTTCGACGGTCCATGTCCCTTGGACTTTGGGGGTTTCGACGTGACCCAAGTCTGCGTAAAGGGTCAGTAAAGGATGGCAAGAGAACAGCCGCGTAGGCCAAGTAAACCTACTCTTGATGTCCACCTCGCCATTGGCGCCGGAAGCACTGTTGGTGCCGTGGAGAGCTGCGGAAGACATGATCGTAAAGGCGCTTGGAGATGTGTATGGAGCGTTGTAGTATGTCTGTTCTCGTTTCGGGGACGACGACTGCGACGGAATAGCTTTCTCGTGGAGCGGGGCAAAGCACGCAGAGTGGAGGGAGAGAGTTGGTGGACGACGGGAAGCAAGGCAATTATCGCGGGGTCCGTTGCTGGCGCTAAAGTGACGGATTGAGCCCAATGCAAGATCACTGGCGCTGGCGTGAAAGATCAAGAAGCGAAAAGAGACCGAAGGAACAGGCCTGACTAATATCAGAAAATGGAATGCGAAATTGGGAAAGCGCGACGGAGGCAAACGAAGGGGGAAAAAAACCAAACGGCTAAAGCAGAAAGGGGTCTCTCCGTTCCTGCCTGAGTTTGCTTGTCTTTCCTCCTCCAAGGAAGGGGCATCCCAGCTTTGATGTCACCACCGTCACAGGCAGCTACGACTGCAAGCAGCCGGCCGCCGCCTGCCTTATCGGCTCTTTCGCACTCACAACAGACGGCAGGCGGCTCCGACCGAAATGGAAAGGAGCCAACCCGTCCACCTACCCTTCCATGGAGCCCGGCCCCGCCCACATTCTGCAACCATTCAGCGGCCCGCCATTTGGAATCCTTCCTTGACTGGGTTCCCATCTCAGGATTCCGGAAAAAACAGACGTAGACGAGTCGCGATGTCTTGAACATGCGCAGAACCGCTGCTTCGGCATCATACCTTATCTTGGTCCAAGGCTAGTCATGCAATTTGTGTGGGCAACCGGCATTGTTGTGCAAGCTTTACTTGTTTATCTGTTTCTCCCAAGCTACTCAAACTACGAATACACCTACAGATCATAGTCCGGAATATCAATCGTACTATTTGCTTCCAATGCATCCTTGATTGCTTGGCAAACAATCAGCGCAGCAAGACCTGCCTGCGGCGAGCAGCTGGGTGACTCTTTGCCTTGAATTACACGACAGAAATGCGCAAGCTGCAGCTCAAACGGAATCCCATCTTCTACCGCCAGCTTCTCTCTCGCCATCTCCGAATGCCACGACTTGTTCGTGCCCTTGTATGACCAAATCGACAAGTCAGGTACGCTGAGTGATCCCTCGGAGCCAAATATCTGGTAAAAGTTCTGTCCCGTCTTGGGGATAAGAGGATTCTCGCCCGTTCCCGCCTCAAAGTTGTAGGGTGATGGCACGTTGTCTGAGATCAGGAATGTCCCGACAACGCCTGATTTGAATCGAATCGTGAGCGCCGCACCTTCTTCGGCTTCATGACCTCTCTGCGAAGTCGTCTTTTCCGCATGGACTCTTGTAATCGGCCCTAAGAGATGATGAAGCAGATCGATTTCGTGGATTGCATTGATCAAGACAACCCCTCCATCTTTCCCCTGCCTCCATTCGGTGGGAGCCTCGAAGTAATCGCCCGGCTTGTAGGTGGTCCAAAGTCCGTTGATGGCTATAATCTTGCCTAGAGTTCCCGAATCGAGTATCTTTTTGGTACTGATGATGTAGGGATTGAATCGTCGATGATGGCCCACGAGTGTTTTGACCTTAGTGGTTTGGAGATGACTCAGTAACTCGGTGCCGCTCGGGATATCAGAGCTGATGGGCTTTTCGACGAGTACATGGACCCCTCCTGAGGAAAGCTGTTTCGAAACGGCGACGTGTGTGTGGTTTGGGGTGCAAACGATTGCAGCTTGAGGCACATGTTCCGATTGCAAAAGGTCGCCGACTGATGTGTGGTGTGCTACATTCAACTCAGCTGCCAGTTGAGCTCCAGCCGGTGCGGGATCGACCACTGCAATAAGCTCTGCATCGGGGCTCTGGGCAACTGTCCTAGCATGTCTCGGACCAATCAGACCGGTGCCGATAATGGCAAAGGAGATTTTGCCTTGGTGGCTCGTCATGTTTGGACAATTGGTGATTGGTAAAGACTTCGAATGTCTTACTCGCAGGTATGAAATGTGCACGATGCGAAGTTAAGTGGGCAAGGACGGAAACTTGGGTAGTGCTTCGAGTCAGGATTCTCTCAATGACCGGACGCAGGAACCTTGCTCCACCCTAATTGTACGCTGGAACGGAGCAGACCTCAGTTTCTATATATCAGAGTCCGCGACATTGAATACCCGGCTTGATGCAAGAGCGGAACTGCGTTTACCCTGCGTCGGAAACAAGTCCAGCTGAATCTCCAACTCCTGGCGTACGGCAAAGATATCATGCTAACCCTGTGCGCTGAGAATAATTTCAGGCGTGCGAACAGGTGCTGGTACGATAATCGGCTGAGCCCCACCCCCCGCATAGCCAAGCGTTGGATGGCTGAACCCCGCATTCCCCGGTTCATCGCGGGGGAGGACTCATGACAAGGCCGAAATCGGTCGTGATGAAGATCTGATTACCTGCGTCAACTCACCGACTCAATGGTCTACTTGAGTTTATCGATGGAAGGTCGGCAGCTTCAATAATTTTGGACACCAATGCCGCATCCCCTTTCGGCCCCTCACATCCACCCAGTGCTGTTTCAGCAAGTTGAAACAAATGGCTGAATCCCATGTTCGAAGGCAGGAATAGAGATGATGGGTGTTGCGGCTCTTCCCAGCTCGATATGTCAAGAATGAAAAGTTCTAGTCGAAGGATGACAATCTCACAAGATTTCAATGTTACGAATAGGTGACTTGAAACCAAAGCGACTACCGAGAAGAGTCTGGCAAGGGCAGAAGGGAACCATATTCAAATCACAGGCCTTGGAAATCTTACAAAGTATCAAGACAAGCACCACAACGAGGTAAGCAGGACTTGAAAAATGACATTTGAACCAACTGTGGGTGGAGAAGTTACACGTACTGAAGATGCGGGGTCAATGGGAAGCGGTCCAACGGGGAGAGATCACCCGGCCTGCATGTTGTCATGAGATCAACACTAATATTTCTATCAGTGCCTGTCATGACCGAATTCTTTGTGACTTAATTGACATGGTAGTATTGTCAATGATTCACTTCCTTGGGCCTTGTACGCATCGCGCGTTCCAGGATGCGCCCATATTTTCTCTCTCCCCTTAAGTCCTCTGATCTCCTCGAACGGTTCGGCTCGATAACATCCGAAGTTATTAGGCAAGGTTCAGATTTGTTGGCTTCTAGGTTCCAGCTCGGGAACGACATACAGAGGAACAAAGTTTAGGCCGATGCCTTCGAATGACATTGCCAAGCTTGCTAGGCGTACTCTGCCATTGAGAGTAAATTAGAGTGTACAATTGGAGTCGCTATCGCTCAAAGTAGTTCAATACTACCCCGCCCCTCCATTAACCTCGTCGTGAAGGGACCGAACCAGAAAAGTTGTGTACTCCTGGGTGAGGGATGACGCACCCAACAAACAGCACCAACGAATGTGAGGGGAAATTGTGGATCTCTGGGAGGCTCGGGCCTTGTTTACAACACAATGGACGAGGGGTTCACTTTTCCGATGGGATGAAGGATTGCCGTAGACCTGTTGCTCGGGCTTTTGAGATGCACTCGTCGCATGTCGCATTTGAAAGAGGGGCGAGCAGAACACCGAGGAAGAGCGGTATAAGAGGATGGCTAGAGTCTCCCGAAAACATGCCCATCTTCTCATTCGATTGTTGGCCGAAGATTCCACCAGCTCAAAGCCCCGAACCCTCTTCCCGATATGCGGCGCCTCACTGCTCTACTTGTAGCATCGCTGCTATCACTTGCCGTCATTGCCGACTCAGACAAGGGAGGTGACCAATCCCCAAAGTTCTACAACTCAGCGCGCCATGCAGCCGCGGACCCTTACGTCTTTTACGACTCTGAAAAGGGCCAGTACTATGCGTATTCCACCGAGGGGGCTGATGAAGGATACCACTTTGCAGTTTACATTAGTCCGGACCTTTCGACATGGAGCAAACATCCAGGAGGCGTCTTAAAAGCTTGTTACGATGATCAGATGAAACAGATTGACGGTGGTCAAGCTTGCTGGGCCCGAGATTGGTACTGGGCCCCTGAAACCTACTACAATGAGAAAACTGGATGGTACTTTTTCATCTTTGCTGGTCGTTTGCGGGAAGATCTGGCCAAAGACCATTTTCGATACTCCAAGTTCGAGGAGCCCTCCAAGCTAGGAATCGCCGTCTCCCGCTCGCCTACAGGCCCTTTCCACGAGATTCGATCAGAGCCAATCGGCTATTACCCCTATGATCCGGATTATCACGACATCAACCTGGTCATGGATGATCAGCAAATGCTGCCGCCAGAAAGTCTGGCCCAGGGTGAAACTGCGCCAAAGGGCACATACATACCCACCATAGATCCCAACATTTTCTTCGATAATGACGGCCGGATTTACTTGTACACCTCACGCAATGCCTACCGTAATTGGAATTGGGACAGTAACCTGGGCAAATATATCGAAGAATCCAACATCATTGTGGTTGAGCTGGATCGGAAATGGTGGGATGACCCTTTTGCACGAACCATGCCGGAGATTGCGTCTTCTCAAATCGATCTACACGCGAACAATGCCACCGAATTGCCGTCGAACATCACCTCCTACAACGGCACTGGCGAGATTGGAGATCCTCCCCGCAAAGACGGTTGGAAGACGGTCATCTCCTACGGCGCTGATCCGCAAGATTGGGAGAACTACCACGTGAATGATTTTGTCAAGTTCAATGGCACGAAGAAGAACCGCCGCTGGTCGGAAGGTAGCACGGTTATCACACGAAACGGCAGTGGCGACCAGTCGGTCTACATGCTGACGTATAGTGCCAACAACTACGAAGCTTCCAACTACGGTGTTGGTTTTGCAACGGCAGAATCACCGCTAGGCCCATTCAAGAAATCGTCTAAGAACCCTGTTCTTTCCCAAAAGCCCGACGGAGAATTCCCTATCTACTCCACCGGCCATGGAAGTATCGTGGCGTCACCTCCTCCAGACACCAGGATCAAGTTTGGCGCGCAAGAGGTCACCAGGAAAAGTTTGGATGGTACAGAGCTGTTCTATGTGCATCATGCACGTAATGACACAACGAGGGACCGCTCCATCTTCACCACACGCATGAGCCTCAATGATTCGGCAATATTTATTGGCTCTGATGATGCCATCAGCATGAGCCTAACACCGCTTGACCAAGCACTCCCCAAAAACACATCCCCGATCAAGTTCCAAGTCAGTTGCTCCAGAGATCGAGACGGCGGTGCTCGGTTTGACGTTCGCGTCATCTCAAAAGCCGGAGCCCCGTTTGATCTTATGGAGGGAACAAACAGAGTAGTTTCTCTTCCCGGTGCCATTGAGGCAATCTCCATTGAGTCCTCAAGACGGCGAGATGGTGGATACGTTCTAAATTTCAATAACACGTCAGTGACGGAGCTGGCATATCAACGACTGAGTGTGGACGGCAAGTGGGCGACAGTCGAAAGCAAGGAGATCAGATGCAAAACAACGCAGCGACGGTTTTTGAAGCAGTCATGAAAAGCAACATCATGTATGGATTGAAAGAAGACAAACGCAAACCAGCATTCATTGAGTAGTAGGCCTAAGGTCCCCTTTTCTTCGTGCTAGTATTTGATCGTCAAAATTTCGAAGCAGCTCACAGCCGTTCCTAAAGGACGAAGGCAGTCAGAGAGATTACTGGCATCATTCTCTAAAGCCAATGATAATTAGGTTGATTTTGCTCTTCATCCTCAAAGCGTGTCAAACCTACCTCAATTATTAACACATCTAACTACCTGATACTATTCTAACTACCTGATACTATGAGTGACGTCTCTAGGTGCGGGATCGAAACCCATACTCCCGGATCTGTACTGCAGGAGGCACTTTTGGCCGAAAAACTTTGTCACGAAATCGTATAAATAGCTAAAGTATGTGATTTAAGATAAAGACTCTCAGTCATCTGATGCAGTGTCATATCGGGAAGTAAAGGCGGAAGCAGTGTCTGGTGTCTCGTCATAAGTAAAGTGAGGGCTTTTGATTTAGAAAAATCGCGTGAAGTTTCTTTTGACGAATAAACTGAGATTCTAAGACAGATTTGTTCCTATTTACCAGTCCTTGGGCACAGCATTAATGTACAGGCTGACAGGACCCTGGCTGGCGCAGACCGTAGAGGCCAAAGGACCCGCGTGGCAGTACGTGGGAACATCTCTGTAGCCAGAGGCGCCGCTTCTGAACTTCCAATCAGTGGATGGCATTGTGGAGGATGAAATGGACCAGAAGAACTTACGCAACACCCCAGCGGTGATAAATGCGAACACCCCAGGTGTCATAGACCCCCTTTATAAGGGCAAAGCTGTATTTGCTACTGCCGCAAGCATATTTTTCTCCAAGAAGAACTTCCCCAGTAAGCCCGCAATAGATATCATCGGCGTCATGAGCGGTGATGTGAAGGCCGACGCTGTCTACTGCCCCATCGGACTGGTGTTGGGTAGAGAAGTCGAGGATCAAGACATCCTCCACTGGGGGAAAATCAGCCTGGGGAGCCAGGGCAGCCACAGCTGCTGATCCAAGAGCGATGATTGTAAGAGCTGCGAAACGCATTGTGCCCTACCTCCGTATTAGTAGCTTTCACGAAAAATAATGTCGCTTAATATAGTATTTCACCTACAGAGCTTCGGATAAATCTTTGGAAATTACAGAAGTAGTGAATGCCGATGATGGGAGGTTTGGGATGAGCTGAATGACGGGGAAATCGAGTTGTTAAATATTTCTCCAAAAACTTCCTCAGCCTAGTCAAGGACCATTGTGCTCTTAAAAGGGAAACATCACAAGGATAGAGACCCTCAACTGCAGTAACCGGGCCTGCGATCAAAGACACGCAATTGTGGGCCACGTTTTACGAGATGACACATTCAGAGCCGTCTCAAGCCACAAGCGCGCATCAGAAGACCGATGATAGTGAATCTGCACACCAAGGGAGAACGCAAAGAGCGGACTTCCATAGTGATGTGCCGCCTCGTATTAGGGCTTCCGCTACTTCTTACAAACCTGTTAATAGTATGAGAACTCCGGAACAAATAAAATATTCAGGATCTAATGTGAGACGAGCCAGACAGGAGACGCGTGAAAGCTTTGCATACCTGAGCGACTCTGACAACCCGTAGCTGCAATTTTAGATTTCCAAACCTAAGGGACTAGACTCCAAGACTCTCAAGCTATTCCGGTACCTTATGCAACAACAACATATGTTGCTAGACATGACAAAAGAAAGTAGTCGGTATCAAGTTTTCTGCTTACATGTTTCCAACAATGGATTATTAAAGATTGGGTAACGAAGCATTGCGAATACGAACCCTATCCCCCGTTCTGGGTTTAGTTTGGTTACATCACTTGGGTCACGATTTGTTGTTGCTTACTCAGGACCACATCAACGAAATGCAGCTTCAATAAATCTGGCAAGGCAGAGCTACCTCACGTGCAAAATGGGCATATACACGCTACGTAACATCATTCACAATGGCTGGCATTGCTTGAAATCGAGAATCTTGGAGGTAAGACGAATTAATCATCTTGCCCGACTTCTTGGCTTACAACAATCACGGAATGACGTAACCGGGCGATTTCACCTAGGTCACGCCACACTTAGCTCCTCAGGTTCCCTATTGATCATGCAGATACACCAATCATTTCAGCCCAATGCATCCATAGTGTTCTTATCTCTAGGGCCGCTTCAGTTCATACGATAGCTCCTAATTAGGGAATACTTACAGATCTATGGCCCTGGCTAGAATGGAAAGCTAGTCTTTCAGTCTCCATTCTCGAGCAAACATTTTCCGACAGGGGTTCTGCTCGATGGGCCTACTTAAACAAGCAGGTAGCTCAGATTCGAAGCCTGGGACTTTCAGAGAACTGGACCATATTTGGAGGGCGTTAATTCTAACATATCTCAAACTAGATCTAGCTCTGTGTCCCTCAGCGCAATATTATTTCCTTAGTCACTCCCTCATTTCTCCTTCGGAAATGACCTCGCCAAGGACGCTGGTTCAAGTGTGTGTGGGTAGGGTTGGATTGTCTCTTAATGTCACAAGCAACCGCCATCATTATATAGACCTAATAAGATTGCCATTCTAAATTGGGAGCAATACAAATCGATCACAACTTTTGATGGCATATGGAGATGCCTTTGCTGATTATGACAGCAACGCACCGTAGGTGTTGCCGTTGTGAAATTGCGGGCAATTAGGCTGTAGCTTATGGGAAATGTTGGAGCACAATTGATTTGAAAATGGCCCTCACCATAGGGAAGGGATCATATGTCGCACATGGCAATCAGCATTGAAGTTGGAGGAAGATGAATTCTATGTCGGGCACACTTGCCGCTTTTTACGCCTTATCGGACTGGCCGGCCTGCGGGGCCCGGGTTCTCCTGCCCAACTAGCTGCGTCTGCAACCTCTAGCCCACTTTACTGGGGTGTCCCAAAAGGGGTTGAAAGTGAACCGCCAAAACGTTGTTTTCGGCATTCAAGGCATTCTAACATCGGCTTCTCTTGCATTTATTGAGTCACGCGCGAATCCAATAGGCAAACTCTAGCTGCAACCTAACAAGATCGTAGAGCTATTCCGTAGGACGTTTGCTAATCTTTCGCCTGAAGTATGGATGAATTTAGACACGGACCTGAAACTTTGCCACGGCCACTTGTGTTGGCAGTTGACTCGGCTTCACTTAACGAAATAAAAAATATGGTTATGAAGACCTAGATACCACCTCAATCCTGTGTATAGCGAAACGGTATTTAATAGCTCGACGTTCCCCTTTGAGCTTGTTTCCTTTGACCTCATCCAAATCGTTCAGATCAGATCAACTTTCAAGCCAGCCTGAGTTTCTCAAAACAAACGGGTATCCCAAGATAAGCTTATACTATCAAGTATGGACGATAAAGGTGCTACACTCGACATGTCCCTGTTCTTTGGGACAGAGGAGCAAAAGAGACAATTTTGCAACGAGCTACTTCGATTGCTCAAATCGCGAGGTGGTGTCAAGATTCAAAATCACAGTATACCAGCAGAAGACATCCACCAACTATTCGATATGGTAAGTTCGAAGTGATATGGAGCCAATGACATGAAGGCTGACCGTGGCAATAGAGCCGAAAATTCTTTGCTTTGCCTCTGGAGGAAAAGATGAAAGCCAAGCACCCGCCTCAAGCCAATCCGAACAGAGGATACAGCTTTGTTGGCCAAGAAAATGTTGCAAATATCAGTGGTTACGAGAAGGGACTAGGGCCAGGCAAAACTCGCGATATAAAGGTACCCCATGCTCTGAGAGAGGAAACGCCGTATTCTCAATTGACTAACAAAAGGTATCAAGGAAACTTTGGACATGGGCAGTTCGCACGACGATCTTGTAGACAATCTCTGGATACCTGAAGAGAGCATTCCTGGATTCCGGAAGTTCATGGAATCTTTCTACGAGAAAGCTTACAGAACCGAAATGCATCTTCTCTCCGCTCTTGCGATTGCTCTCGGTGTTTCGGAAGACTACCTCAGGGCACTTCATAATCGTGCGGAGAACGAGTTTCGTCTTCTTCATTACCCGGCGATTCCGGCCATGGAGCTTGCGGACGGTACAGCGACGCGCATTGCTGAGCACACCGATTTTGGAACGATCACCATGCTTTTTCAAGATTCCGTGGGAGGTCTTCAAGTGGAGGACCAAAACGAGCCTGGAGTATTTCGAAGCGTGGAATCCTTGGCACCTACCGACATCATCCTCAATATTGGCGACTCTCTTCAACGCCTGACCAACGATACATTCCGTGCTGCTTGCCATCGTGTCACGTACCCCCCCGCAATCAAAGCTGGCGACAATGTTGAGATTCCCGAGCGGTACTCCATTGCATATTTCGTCAAGCCGAATCGCCATGCCTCTCTGCTTCCCATGAAGGAGTTTGTTACCGAAGCTACTCCATGCCACTATGACGATGTTACTTCATGGGAGTGGAACAACCGGAGAATTGCAAAGCTATTTGGTTAGCTGCATGAATTCCCAGCGAGGTTTGTTTGGACCACCCTCGGCTCTGCTTGGAAAACAGAGCAAAGCTGCCAAGGATTCAAGGATGCGGGGCCCTCTCGGGAGTGTGGAACTGGTTTGACTTAGCCAATCCAGCAATAGCTTCCGGGGTCACTTTCCAGTTTAGCCTAGACCCCACGAAAGAATCACAAACCGTCTGACCTATACCCTATCATTCCATGTACTGTATCGTCAAGACTGCTTAAAATCTCCAACACAAAGTAGCTGAACATTAGTCCCGAATTTTGCACTAAATGAGAAGATGATCACAATGGTCCACGATTGTCTCTCATATTTCATTCATCAATCTTCTCATCTTGTTGAGCAGTGCAGTTACAAATGGGGCAGCAACTAATGAAAAGCGTCGCACTTGACGCCAGTCGCTCCCGCGGAAGCTTGCTAATATTACGCACAATACGGACCTAACTAGCCTGTGGAATCAAAGTATATAATGGATAACCAAACACCCCAGGATTAATGCTGTCCGTTTGTCCCTCATCAATGCCGGAGGATATCACCAAAATAACATTCCCCTATTCCTGTTCCATATCTCTGCTTTTGTGCTTTCTGACAAAAAGCCCCTCCCCGTACATCATTTGGAGCTCGACGGCATTGCCCGGTCCGCATGGCGTTAACTGCATCATGCACACGTCGAGATCCAGGAGCGCACATTCTTTTGAAGGATGCAAGACATGCAGGAAACGTCACCTGAAATGCGACCAGACCACACCAAGGTGTAAACGATGTTGCATCTCAGGCTTGAAGTGCGATTTCAGAGCGGTCCTTCGCTGGGTTCTAGTAAAAGGTCCAGACGATTTAAGTACGGTGGCTCCTCCTGCAAACGAAGCTACACAGTATTCTCGGCGTCATCTATACTCTGGTGAGTCTGAGGGTCGTTACGACTTCGACAATAGATGTTGTGAGATATTGTGAAGCTGACTTGGAAGGAGAGTAGAAGATTTGAGAAAGGTGATGAGCACTTCTCTCGTTGTGAGCTTGTCCTCTACTGTCAACGAAGCTCTTTCCAAGATCGAGAACGAAGCCAAATTAGTGGAATCCAGGGAGGAAATGGAAATCGCCATTGGCCCTTTCAATGTCTTTCACGGACTATATCCAGTTCCAGACGGAGAGCCTGAAGTCAACCTAAGTGCGAAGACAAGTATCCAAGTGGTGGAGGAAGGAGCTGTCGACAAATGCGACAACCTGTCTCTTTCGGAAGGCACCGTCTCGCCATCGAACCTGGGCGATTCTATGCGAGCCACTAGATACGTAACGGCCGATATCGCCGGAAGCTGCGGTCCCGCTGTGAATGAAATCACCGTGCCTGACGCGCTTGACGACCTTCTCTCGAGCTCCCTAGATGTCCTTCAATGGGGGGACTTGTTCACCTGGGATGCCGAAGTGAACCATTCTCCCCACCTGGGCTACTCCATTGACGAAATCCCATGTTCCAATCAAGAACTACACACTACCCTAGACGATTGGACCATCCGTGAAACGATCAATCAGCAGACGACGGAAACTCGAGGGACCGACAATGTACGGCCTATTGTCGCCTCAGAGCTAAACGAAGATCTAGTTGCGGACGCTCCGCTTCTTTTGAAGCACTTCTATGATGAAGTCATAAATCAAATGGGCTCGCTACCGATCAACGAGAAGTCTGCATGGAGGATTTTGAATTTTCCTTCTGCCATCGTCACACTCAGTCAGCTTACTATTCTTGAACTACCCAGTCATGATATTCGACATGCCAACTTGTCAAACCTTTACGCCATCATCGCGGTATCCGCATTTCATCTTTCACTCAATTCAGAGAGCTTCCCACAAGTTACGAAACCCGAACGGTACTGGAAATCTCTATCTGAGAGGACATATGATTGCGCCAAGTTCCACCTAAAGCTTAGCTTGGAGGAGGAGTCTGCCACCCCAAAGAAGGCCAAGTACAAAGAACAGCTGATGGCCGCTGCAGCTATTCTTGCAACTGCTGTAAGTATTCTCTCTGTATTTCGAGCTTCTGCTAACTCCGATTAGCTATTGTCTGGCAACGAACAAGATACATGTCGATATTTAGTAGAAATGGAAAGGCTGATCCGTGCTCGCGGGTTGCGAAAGCCAAAGTTATCACGCCGAGCACGACTGTTGCACAATATCTATGCCTGGATGAGGATAGTCTCGGAAAGCACTAGAACTTTCCACGATGAAACACCAGTACTCGATCCAATTAGCATCAATGATGGCTGGGTCACCACTCAAAACCACGTTCCTGCTCACGATCTGTCTCAAGCTGGAACAGCATCGCTCAGGCCAGTTTTCTCAAGCGCGGAGTCACTGAGAAAGGTCTACCCAGAAATCACTTTGGATAACTTCCTTCACTTAGAACCATCCCAGCTTCATTCCGATCCCACTTCCGGCAATACCATCAACGATGATATGACGCATACCAACAAAGACATACATCTAGCAACTTCGATACAGGATCAGGAAGACATGTATATGCAGATATACGGCGTGCCGGAAACCTGGCTGAGACTTGTGTCCCAGATCACACGGCTAGCTAACGTCATGGACCATCTTGCGCCAAATGAAAGCCAAGTTGACGCCATTAAAATGGCAGCACTGCAACCAAAAGCATCTTATCTAGAAGAAGCTGTTTGTGCCTTTAAAGCAAGGTACCACGGTCAGTACGAACAGGATTTGAATACCAAGAAGCCTCACGTACATATGGTGCGGGCACTTAGCCCGGCTTTGATGATATTCTTCTATCGCAGGATCCGAAACATCAATCCTATGCTGCTACAAGAAAGTGTCGAAGAGGTGATGGAGGCGTTGCAAGGATTTGATGATGCTTTGAATCATAATGAGTTGCTAGGGCCAGGCACAGCTTGGCCAGCTTTCATTGCAGGTGCGGAAGCGACGAAACCGGAGAAGAGGGCGCAGTTCAGTTCTTGGCTATACAGAGCCCATGCTAAGTCAGGATGGAAAGGCTACTGTGTATCGAGAGAAGTTTTGTGTGAGGTTTGGAGGCACCAGGATGCGGATGCAAACACGTCACGGGGCCTAACGTGGGTAGATGTTTGCAGGGCGAACCGACGCTGGCCGCTATTATGTTGAGCCGATGTCATAGATCGGCGATTGTGGATGTAGTAAAAGAAGCAACATGGATATAGTAACGTTGGCCGGGGCCGAGCCAACGTAAAGCCAACCAACCCTTGAGAGATGTGCGAGCAATCGAATGGTGTTACATCAAATTGGGATATATATTCAACAGTCCACCAGGGATCCATCTCATCAAGATACATAAGTGACAGAGAGCATCCTCGTGAAATGTCATCTAAATTCGCTTCTCGTGCAGTTCACTGACGTTCTTATTGAGGTCGTCATCGTCAAGCTTTTTGGCGCTGGTATCGCCTCCGGTCAATTCGAATACTTTACGACGAGATGCGTTAGCAGGTGCATGGGAGGAGTTTGAAGTGCAAGTCAACAAGAAACATGCGAAAAGTTTGACTTACAATCAACGGGAGTGGTCGCGAATTGGCGAGCCGGAGTCCTCTTCTGGAACAAGTAGTCGAGCTCTGCAAAAGTGCGATTCTTAGTCTCAGGGAGGAAGAAGAAGATCAATACCGCCCAAAGGCAGCAAAGTCCGAAGTAGAACAAGCCAGTCTTCGCACCCCAGTTCCAAGAGTCACTACTGGAGTTGAGCATGCGAGGGTTGAGCTGCTGTACGACAATTTGGCCAACGACGTAGATAGCGCGTCCGAGAACAATGGTCTGAGCTCGCACACGACTGGAGGACATCTCGCCCACAATGGTGTATGTTGTCGGGCCCAGCGACAGTTTGAAAGTCAGGTTAACAATGATCATGACCACAGCCACAGCCAGAGCAACATTGGTCTTCCCTGGGATGAAGCCTAGGATGCCAATGACGAGCATGAGGAGACCGATGATTGAGGAACCCCAAAAGAAGAAGACGCGACGCCCGACTCTGCCCATCAAGGAAATGGCAATGGCAGTGCCCACAATGTTGCCTGACTGGATACCCATGCTGAAGTCAAAGGCTCGAACCTCTGGCATACCGGCTGATTGGAGGAAGATGGTAGCATAGGCGCAGATAGCCTGACCATTGAGAATTTGAATAAGCCAGGCCATGGCCACGATGCCTGTGCGGCGCAAGTTGGTTCCATGGAAACAGTCGCGGTAACTGGCGCCAGCTGACTCAATCTTTTCCATTTCATTGGTGTGTCTCATGAGAGCCAACGTTTGAGCCATGGTCTGCTCAGTATAGAAATTCTTGCGTGCAAGACGGCGTAGGGACTTCTCGGCTTCTTCGATGCGACCACGGCGAACGAGGTACCATGGGCTTTCCGGGGCGAAAAAGCCAACAGTGAATAGAGGCACCACCCAAACCCATTGGAGGGCGTAAGGGATCTTCCATGCCAAGTCTCCTTGAAGTCCCAGTGAACCACGGAGAACACCGGCGGCAAGGAAGGAGCCACAGCCCCAACACATGGAAACCCAGGCGGTGAGATATCCTCGCATAGCAGCAGGGCAAATCTCGGCAGCGTAGGCAGTGGTGAGGGTCTGAAAGATACCCCAGGGAATGCCGCAGAGAATGTTGGCGGCGAAAAGCATTTGAACGTTGACTGCGAAGAACAATGAAAAGATTGTCCCTCCCATGAGTGCCATAGCACCCATGTAGACTCGCCGGGATCCATAGCGAGACTGAAGCCAGCCGTTCAAAAGCAGTCCGATGATGCTTCCCAAATTGTTGCCGTTGCCGATGGCGGCCTGCCATGATGTCGGAATGTGTTGCTTGCCGTTGGCGTCTGGCCAACCGAACCTCCTCAAATATGCCTTCTGTCCAAAAAAGTTGTTGACGAGACCAACATCCATGCCCTCCATGATCAAGGCCATACTCAGGAGCATGCTGTAGATGGCAGCTGGCAGATATCGTGATACAAGCTCCT